TTTTGTCTCGAGCCACATCAATCGACTCACTTTGTGCAACGGTGTGATAATTTCTAAAAGGCGGGCAAACTTCGAACAACCACACAGACCAAAAAAGGAAAGTTTAAAAATGGAGAAATGATTGTGCTCCCTTTTCAATTTGTTTTTGCTCATGTATGCGCCCGGCACGGATCATTGGGTGTGTTAACTAGAGCTACTCTTTTAGGATACAAAAGAAAAGCTAGAACCGTTTTTGAAGGTTGCATCACATATTTGAGGACTTTTTGTACTCAGCTATTACCCCCCTCCCAATAGTCATCACAAAAGATGACTGTATCCTTTTTTTAGAGATATACATTTCATCTCGATGTTCTCTACTCCACGAGAGATAAAGAAAATTGCTAGATACATGTTAAAACAAAAATGACCAGCTGATAACTGATAACCTACACCATGCATTAAACTCGTTATCAATATCAGAAATTTCAAAAATTGTGGAATCCGCCCAATCCTGCATGTTCGTTAGCATGTAGAAAATTGTAGTGCGTATTTGCTGAAACCCCTAGATGAGTGAGGGACCAAACCACAGCTAAAGTTATTAGGAATTCCCACAGTTGAACAATGATGGTTGTAACTTTTTTTGCTTGGTACAAACCATAGGTCGAGGCGGGCTGGACTTCATCGAAGATACTCAATCCATATATGATATTTGTCCATTAATCTGATCACAGTAGTGAAATGAAAGTACATGAGAACTAGTACTCAGATTTGCGTATACACACATCGTAGTTCCCTATTGCAATAGCGAATTTTCATGATCAAAGCGCTACTATTCTACTACGAAAAACTCTTTGTTCGAGCACTCTCTAATGATGAGCTGTGCTTATTAGTTCGAACTTGCCAACTTGACGATATGTACCATTTACTGCAAGTATGATGTTAGCAACAACTTTCTCGTAAAATGATTCAAAGAGGGGATTTTATATGTGCAAGTATTCATATTGTGCCTACAACGCTGCATGTGACAAAAGGCATCTCGATGTAACTTTCTGTTGTAACTTGTGGTTTATCTGTAGAAAAGTCTCCAACTTTGCTGAACAACTCCTCAAATCGTTAGGGCGTTTGTTTAGTTGTACACCGCATAAAGAAGACCCATGGTTCAAGTAAATTATTACAGGCGTCAATTCACTTGATACTGAAACCCCGATTGAGACGACATTGTTATTGTAGGCATTTCATCAATTAGAAACTCGTAAAGTGCTTTCGATCATAGGGGAAATTTTTTTTTCCAAGGTACACACATCAAGTAGATGCATGTGAATCATATCATTTCATGAGGGTAACGTGAAACTGTGAAATAACAGTTTTATAATATTTCAGGACCTATCCCCTCATTCCCTTCCTGACATTTGACTCCTTTTGTCATTCAATATTTAGGCGTATGATTCAGTGGGCGTGCATAGAGGTTTGTACATTTGGTTTCTGCAATTCACCACATCAGTACTTGTTGTATCTCTTCAGTTCAATAAAACTTCTGTTCCATATGAAGTATGAACCACGACTTGGTTGTGGTCGACCTATTATTAGTAAGTTGTAGAAGCCTCCTTGAACGCCTCTCTATAACGTTCGTACACTGTATTCTTTTACGTATACTTTTCTAGACCAAGTTGTTTGGACTTGGCTTACTTGTCTGTGACACCTGCTAGCTCAAATCTTATCCCACAAGCTTGACATTAGATACTGTCGAGATAATATCCAAAACTTGGTACTTGACAGGGACATGCACAAGTATACTGCAAAAGTGAAGACCTCATCAAGGTTACCTTACTGCATGATAAGAAAGCGGCTTTGGGGCGGCCAATATTCATGACCCAACTGGCTGAAAGGTCCGGACACTACCGACATGGCAGTAGCTGGTTCCCAGTGTTTATCGTTGTCTTACTGCTTCAGTGCCAAGCGCATTGACTCAACTTTAGTGTTTCAACCTTGATCAAGATATCAATGTGCTGTAACCAAACAATCTTCTAGGTTTTAAAGGCGGTGATGGTTTCTAGGTTGGTATCTGTGCTCCGGAGTAGTGCGATTGGATTTGTGCGTGATTACTGAGGATGCCTATAGTTCTAGAACCATGAACACAGTAGTTTACTCATCCTCCGGATAACAGTTTACTTGATTGCTTATCTTGGGTGAAGATACAGAAAAACTCCTCATT